CCGCACCCCTGTTTTTACCCCCCCCCCCCCCCCATGCTGCACCTTCCTCTCTGTGGTCACTTGCTGTGCCTGTGTGCATTTCAGTGGTGCTCTGTGTTGGCTCAAAGGTTTACTTATAGCAGGTGTCTTAAAGCAGGCAGTCTTTGGATCAAAACAAGGAAATGTCTCCTCATAAAGACTCATTTGCAAGTTGGTCAGAAGACAAGCACAACTGTTTTATCAAAGTTTGTTTTTTGGAAATAGATGAATGGGTCATTGTACAACTCACCCAAATTCTCACCTAATGAGCAATTCATATAGATAACCCACTTTCCCTCAAGTGCTCAACCAAACTATCAGATAAATGATGCACAAGGCCATGGGAACAGAACCAGGGAGGGCCTGCCCACTAGGGCACAAGGTCAGGCTCTCTCTTGTGCTGTCCTCTTGGCCCAGTGAATCTTGACTTTTTTGCTACTTGCAGCACATTCAGCTGGAGGGTAGAGAGAGCACCTCTGCCCAGAATAGCCCTTAGTCTGGGCACTCTCCTAAAACCATATGTATTTGAATCCTTTCAGGAAGAGAAGGAAATTAAACTCAGGTCTCCCACTTTTGGGGTGAATCCTTTAACCACTATCTAAACACATGAGGAAGGGAATGGCAGCATCATCACCACTTGTTTTAAAAGATGGTGGCAGCTGCAGCCCTATTCTGTTGAGCACTGTCAGGGTTTGGCAGCAGCTGACTGGGAGTTACCAGGGTCACAGATTAGACCAAGGTGCTTAAGTTCCACTTAAGTCCTTTTTTTGGATCTAGTCTTTACTATCAGACAGCTGATGTTCGTTCTCAGAGCTCCCTTGGTAGCTGATGATCTGCCCTACAAGTTGGTTAGTTTCTGCTTTTTCCCCAGATAAGACTGAACATTCCTGTTACCTGAAGCTTTCAGGGCGTTACGAAGCTCATAGGAGGACATGGTTCCAGATTTATCCAAGTCAAAAAGAAGAAAGATGTTCTGCATGGGAAAAATGTAGCAATTTCAGCAATGAGTTATATAAAGGAATCTTCTAGCACAGCTGAAACACATGCAGAAATAGTTTATATATGGTTTTCTAGACACCTGCTTTTTACAAAGGTAGCATAAGTTGACTGAACCCTTTTGGATTTAAGGCCTATTGCAAAGTTACCAGCCAGCACAAAGGAGTGGATCTGGTGAACCAGGTAGTTCTTTCTAGGTCTATGTTAGACTTTAGTCTGGATTCAGTCCAAGTATGGAACTGAAGACAGATCTGAGATCCATCTCTCATTGTTGTACGAAGCAGATTGTGGTGAAAAATCAGTCCATATTTTCAACCTGAAGTATTCAAAAATAATTGGTTGGCCTCTGTAAAATTGTCAATTTTTAAAAAAAATCTTTTTTTTTAAAATTTGGTTTCTGAACCTGTAAGGTTCATTCTCTTTCTATATTTCTCTACAACAATGAAGGTAGAAACAGAAAAAAAGATACAAAACTTTTAGATACAAAATGAAGATTCTCATGTAGTCACTTGTCACTGAAGCTTTTAGAAAATCACCAAATATCTTGATAATTGTGAAGATTGGAAAAATTGATTTAGGGTATGTGACCCAAATGTTAAATATTTATGAAGTTGAATTTACAGTCCATATTTTCTTTATGGGACAATAAACATTGATCTTTGCATTATGGATGAGTTGGAGCTACTGTTACAATCACTCTAACTGCATTCATCAGTAATATCTGGAAATCTCTCCATTTATATCTTAATAAATCATTTTTTAAAACTTGTAATTAAAGGAGAGATTAAGTCAATGACCCAGAAGAAAACTATTGTGACTTCTTATAAGACCTCCAGGAAGCAGAGAATTACATATTTCACATGCTTGGCTACAGCATGAATTTGGAGTAGACAATTAAACCCCACGGGGAAACAATTATGATGCCTTATTTGCATACACAATTTCAGCTGCCCATCTTACTGATGTATATTCACATGCTTAAATTTATTACTATAAGTAATGGAACTCTAACCAACTGAGCTAATTGGTTGCCTAACTAAAGTTAAGCACATGCAAGTGTTTGTAGGCCTGGGACTTAATTGGTTAATACTGTTTCAAACCTTAAAAGTCTTGATCTCTAAATAGATAAGCAGTGACAATGTACTGACTCCTCAAATAATTATTTCCCACAAGTGGTGAGTCAGCACTTTCTTCTTGTGCAAATCAAGAGTAATGGAATCCTCTTAAGTTTTATTTTGATTAGAGTCCAGGAAAGTACATTTCTGAAATTCCTTACCTCAAACGTAGTTCTTTCTGTTTATAATAATCTCTGATATTTTCAGCAAGACATTATGGTTCAGGGTCTGGAAAACTATAACCATCTCATTTTCTCCAGACATAAAAATGCTTTTAAGAACTCATGTTCTAAATGCTGGTATTAATGTTGTGCTTTTAAATACATGGTTCTTAATTTTTTTTACTGCAATAATCATATCAATTATAATAAATAACAAATAATAACATAAACGATTAATATATAACAAAATAAATTAGAAAAAAAGATGCTATAGGATGAATATAATCACATACTATCCACTTCTTTAGTTTATCCCAGAAAATCTTGAATTCATTAAATCCCAACTTCCCATTACCACTGGACTGTTATGGCCCACGTTAAGGAAAAAAATCTGGTTAAGAGAAATTCCTTGTTTCCTAAAAATTATTCAGTGTTGTACCCTTACATAGATAATATTACCTACACTAGGGAGCTTGGCATGCTGCCTAGTCCAATACTGTGATATTTGTTGTAGAGTAGCTCAAAAAATGACAATGACTGCAGTTAGAAATCTAGTGGAACATTAAATGGTAATAACTAATAAGCTAGCTAAATAATGCAGACTTCATGGAAATAATGGGGAAACAAACTATTCCAAAGCAAGAGCATCTTTGGATTTAGATTGGCAGTAAGTGACTCAGGGAATTCAGTTATCTGATAAAAAATACTACTATATGCTACAGGAATTGCTTGACCAGTTCACTATGACTTGCTAACTTAAGGCCAGATTCAACCAATGCTGACCCTGTAAAAAAATAATAGGTTTATTCGTAGACTAAAGCTAATGGACTCTGGCAGTTAGTGTTTGGGACTTCTGTTGTCGAAAGCTGTGGTAGTTTTCATAGACAGGGATCTAGACTTGTCTGAACTTTCCCCTTTGTCACGTGGGTTAAAATCTGTTCAGCTTTTGCTCGTTTCTGAGGGTCTTGACCTTGCAAAGGGCTGATTTCCATGGGAGTTTGAGAATATTCAACATCCCAGGAAATACACAGCATGGGGCCCTGTTTGGAAATTTAGTATAAGCAGGGACTGCTGGACTTGTTGACCATTTTTTCTACCTCCTTCCCCACCGCCTAACCTTTCCATGTTTATTTTTTGTGACAGAGCCCTCCTGTAATGCCCATCTATGCAGAAAACATTCATATAGGCTCAAATAATGGACTCTACATTAGCTGTTACCACACAGAAAAGAGACCTGGGAGTCATTGTGGACAGTTTGCTAAAAACATCACCTTAGTATTCAGCAACTGTCAGTCAACAAGGCAAACAAAATGTTAGGGTTTATTAAGACGGGAATTGTAAACAAAATTGAAAGTATTATTATGCCCCTCTATAAACCTATGATACATCCATACCTTGAATACTGTGCCCAGTTCTGGTCCCCACGCCTCAAAAAGAATATAGAAGTACTAGAGAAGGTCCAGAGAGGGGCAACAAGGATGATTAGTGGTATGGAGGGGGTTTCACATAAGAAGAGACCAAAGGGGTTAAGACTATTCAGTTTAGAAAAGAGACACTTGAGGAGGGACATGATAAGTATTTACAAAATACTAAATGGTGAAGAGAAAGGAAATAGGGATTTATTATCTACTATCTCTAACAATACAAGAACCAGGAGTCATAAAATGAAACTGGTAGGTAGTAAGTTTAAACTAACAATAGGAAGTTCTTTTTCACGCAGTGTGTAATTGAAGTATGGAACTCATTGCCACAAGATATTGTAGAAACTGACAGTTTAGCCAGATTCAAAAAGGGATTGGACAAATTCTTGGAGGAAAGGAGCATCAGTAGCTATTGAGCATGAGAGTCAGTGATAAGGCCTTTGAATCAAACTTCCTAGACCTTAAATTCTGGAGGCTGCAAGTGAGAGAGGAACAGTGGAAAAACCCCCTGGTCATACCCACTTCATGCTCCCTTTTAGCATCCACTCTGCCACTGTGTGACAGGCCAAATTATTGCCTAAGGAATGTGGGCAAATGCCCACAAGGAAACATTATAAATCTCTCTTAGAAAAGGAGGCCACTAGGTAGACAACAACTGATTTCTGGGGACAACAAAAGACATAACATGGATGGGAGTGAGGTCAGAATTTTACAGCTAGCGTGATAAGTGGGGGCACCAAGCAGAGAACACTAGAAAGCACCTGCTAGCTGTCCAATGAGTCCAAGGAGCCAGTGGACTCTGTCCAATGATAACAGAGATCAAACAGCCCCTGTGTGACACAGGAGACTAGGCTAGATGTACCTATGGTTTGACCCAGTAAATGGCAATTCTTATGTTCTTAAATGTTCAAAATCAGGCAGTCATGCCTAATTTCATAGTTGGTAGTGTCAGAAGGGACCTGAGCAGATCATCAAGTCTGACCCCCTGCCATGGGCAGGAATGAATACTGGGATCATATGACCCCAGCTAGGTGACTGTCTAGCCTCCTTTTGAAGACCCCCAAGGTAGGAGAGAGCACCACTTCCCTTGGAAGTTGGTTCCAGCTCCTAGCCACCCTGACTGTAAAGTAATGCCTCCTGATGTTTAGCCTGAACCTAATCTCAATCAACTCGTGGCTGCTATTCCTTGTTACTCTGCGTAATGCTCAGGGGAACAGGGCCTTTCCCATTCCTCGCTGGTCCCCCCTAGTAAGTTTATAGATAGCCACCAGATCCCCTCTCAGCCTTCTCTTGTGGAGGCTGAACAGGTTCAGGTCCCGTAGCCTCTCCTCATAGGGCCTGCCCTGCTGCCCTGACCATGCGAGTGGCCCTCCTCTGGACCCTCTCAATGCTGTCCACATCCCTCCTGAAGTGCAGTGCCCAGAACTGGACTCAGTACTCCAACTGCGGTCTGACCAGCGCCACATAGAGGGGGAGGATCACCTCCTTGGACCTGCTCGTGATGCATCTGTGGATGCATGACAAGGTGCGGTTAGACTTACTGACTGCGTCCCCACATTGGCGGCCCATGTTCATCTTGGAATCAATAATGACTCTAAGATCCCTTTCTGCCTCTGCACTGACGAGAAGGGAGTTCCCCAGCCTATAGGTATGCTGCTGGTTCTTCCTCCCCGGGTGCAGGGACTTGTCAGTATTGAATCCCATCCTATTTTCATCCGCCCACCCCGTAACCTGTCCAGATCTAGTTGTAGCCTGTCTGTCCCTTCTAGCATGCCCACCTCTCCCCACATCTTAGTGTCATCCACGAATTTGAACAAGGTGCTTCTCACCCACTCGTCCAAGTCACTGATAAAGATGTTGAACACTACAGGCCCCAGGACTGAGCCCTGGGGGACTACACTGCCCACATCCCTCCAGGTCGAAAATGAGCTGTCTACCACCACTCTCTGGGTGCGGCCCTTTAGCCAATTTGTGACCCATCTGACTGTGTAGGCATCAATGCCACAGTCGCCTAGTTTTTTAATGAGAATGGGGTGAGAGACAGTGTCAAAGGCCTTCCTCAAGTCCAGAAAGACGACATCCACCATGACACCTGCATCCAAGGATTTTGTGACCTGATCATAAAAGGAAACCAGGTTGGTCTGACAGGACCTGCCCCTAATGAACCCATGTTGGTTGCCCCTGAGCATAATCTCCCCTGCTGGTCCCTCGCAGATGTGCTCCTGGATAATTTTCTCAGCCCATAATTTAAGCACCTACTTGTTTGGTCTGATGTTAAGTGGCTCTGGACACGCACAATCCTCCCCCACTAGGATTACAGATGGACCCAGGGGAGGCACCGCCATGCCTAGAGTCAGGGATGACCTAGTTAAGGAACTTTTGGAGGGGCTGGATGTGCTTAAATCAGTAGGTCCAGATGCTCTCCACCCAAGGGTGCTGAGGGAATTGGCGGGGGTCATAGCGGGGCCCCTGGTACGGCTTTATGAATGCTCATGGGACTCTGGCCAGGTAGCAGGGGATTGGAAAAGGGCCAATGTGGTCCCCATTTACAAGAAGGGGAGAAAAGAGGACCCGGGTAACTATAGGCCAGTTAGTCTCACCTCGGTCCTTGGGAAGACCTTTGAGAAAATTATCAAGGAGCACATCTGCAAGGGCCCAGCAGGGGAGGTAATGCTCAGGGGCAACCAACATGGGTTCATTGAGGGCAGATCCTGCCTGACTAACCTGGTTTCCTTCTATGATCAGGTCACAAAGTCCCTGGACGAAGGCATCGAGGTGGATGTCATCTTCCTGGACTTCAAGAAGGCCTTTGACATTGTTTCCCACCACATTCTCTTAAAAAAACTAGGTGACTGAAGCACTGATGCCTACACAGTCAGATGGGTGGCAAATGGACTAGATAGTTGCACCCAGAGAGTGGTGGTGGATGGGTCGTTTTCAACCTGGAGGGATGTGGGCAGTGGAGTCCCCCAGGGTTTAGTTCTGGGGTCTGTACTGTTCAACATCTTTATCAGCGATCTGGATGTGGGTGTGGAAAGCACACTGTCCATATCCACTGATGACACCAAGTTGTGGGGCGAGGCGGGCACGCTGGAGGGTAGGGACAGAATCCAGCTAGATCTAGACAGGTTGCAGAGGTGGGCAGATGAGAATAGGATGAAATTCAACGCAGACAAGAGCAAGGTGGTGCATCTAAGGAGAAGGAACCAGCAACACACCTATAGGCTGGGGAACACCCCTCTTGGCAAAACAGTGGCAGAAAGGGATTTTGGAGTCATTGTTGACTCCAGGATGGACATGACCCTCCAATGCAAGGAAGCCGTCAGTAAGGCTAACTGCACCTTATTGTGCATCTACAGATGCATCACAAGCAGGTCCAGGGAGGTGATCCTTCCCCTCTATGTGGCATTTGTCAAACTGCAGTTGGAGTTCTGTGTCCAGTTCTGGGCACCGCACTTCAAGAGGGATGTGGCTAGCATCGAGAGGGGCCAGAGGAGGGCCACTCGCATGGTCAAGGGGAAGCTGGGCAGGGCCTCCCAAGAGAGGCTGAAGGGCCTGAATCTATTCAGCCTCCACAAGAGAAGGCTGAGAGGAGATCTGGTGGCTGTTTACAAACTCACCAGCAGGGACCAGCAGAAATTGGGGGAGGCTCTGTTCCCCCGGGCACCCCCTGGGGTAACTAGGAATAATGGCTACAAATTGTTAGAAGGCAGGTTCAGGCTGGACATCAGGAGACATTACTTTACAGTCAGGGCTGCCAGGCTCTGGAGTAGACTCCCAAGGGTGGTGGTGCTCTCTCCTACCGTGGGGGTCTTCAAGGGGAGGCTGGACAGATATTTGGCTGGGGTGATATGATCCCAGCACCTGTTCCTACCTGGGGCAGGGCGTCAGACCTAATGATCTGTTTAGGTCCCTTCCGACCCTAAACACTGCAAAACTATGAAACGGAAACTAATAAAGGTACTTCGGCACTTCTGAAAATCAGGGTATGCATTTAGGTGCCTCATTGTGGATATAGGTGTCTAACTTTACACATCAAGTTTTAAAACTTTGAGCCATGGAAGACTGTAACTTGTACATTTAGTAGAATATAATAGAGGGGGTCTGCGCAAATGTTTCATGTGATTTAGACTCATGCTGGCTCACCCCTCCTTACATTTGCTATGAATTCTGTGTACAGCACTGTTTTGACTAAGCTCCACTTGCTTTTGGTGCACAAGAATAAATTTTCCCTGGTTTGCTCAAAATTAGACAGAATTTTGCTTGATAATTTCACCAACTTTAGGAGGAGGCAAGGAAAAGGATTAATATCCTGCATTTGAAAGCTTGTCTGTGTCTATCCCAACTGTGCAGTCGATCCAATAAAAGATATCACCCACAACAACCCTTTCCTCTTGCATACGTCTTGGAGCATTGTGACTGCAACTTCATTCCAACCTTACACTACACTGCACCAACTTTAGAAACTACATTTGACCAACATGGGTTGAGCTTTGATTTTGCAGCTGTATCCCAGAGGAAATAACGTTGTTTTTGTTTTATTTTTTTATTGCAAATACTCATGGGGATCTGTCATCTATTCAAGGAAAAGTTAAACAAAAGCAAAAAAGGAAAGAACTTAGTGGCTAGATAGGCTCAGATAGAGCAAGCAGGAGCCAGATACCACGTTAACATTACTGTTGCTTTGCCAACTATAGTAAAGGATTAGATAAATGGGCATCCGGTCATTCAAGCTGGAGAATCAAAAAGCTTCAGTAGTAACCAAGCAATTAAAAAGAAAGGTATTTGCTATGAACCTCAGTGCAAGGATCTAGCTGAGAGAGATTCCCAGGTTTTCCAGCTTGCAGCTCAGTAGTTCAACTATCCACATCTTAAATATAAATCAAAGGGGTGAGTTTTTCAGAAGTGCTCAGCACTAGAGTACCTCTATTTGCCTACCTCTATTCCCACTAAAGTCAGTTCCCACTGATGCCTGTAGTAAAAGCTGAGTGTTTCTGAAAAGTCCCACCATAAGTTTCAGTAGTTTATGCTGGGCTATAACGTTTACATTTATTTGCTGCACTTAGTGTACCTCCACCTCATTGCAGTACCATGCACATCCTTAGCCTTAGGAACAGGGAAGACAGCTACAGGCACTCATACATATTCAGTATCAGCTTGGCTTTGAGCCTGGAAGTATTCCCATAACATTTGAAAGGATACATCCATAAGAGAAATAATGTTTCTGCATGAAATGAGGCTTAATTTCTTGAATTTGATACTCTTTGCTGTGAAAAGATGAAATAAGAAATACATCACTGGGCAGAAAAACAACAATCTAAAAATGTCTAACAGCATAAAGAAATGTAATGCATTCATTAGCAAAGAGAACATGCTAAAATATTACATCTAATTGGAAAGGAGTGAACCACAGGGGCCAAATTTATAAATCTTGCACACAGGAGCAACCCTACTGACTTCAGTGAAAGTCTCATTTAATATCCCTACTTATTAAGAGTAAGGCCTGCAGGGCTAGATTTGGGAAAAATAAACTGGAGTTTCATTAACAATCAGTCAGGGAACTTTACCATCTTGACAATCTGAGGCTGCAGAGCAGGAGTGACAGGGTGGGGGTTCTATTTATTTTTGTGTTTCACTTGAAGGGTGTTACATTTACACTTGAATGACTCCTTAAAAATGAGCATCTGATCCAAAGTCAAATACTCTTCCTGGGAATTTAATGAAATCTACTATTATTGGCTTTAGTGGGTGTGGGCTCAGGTCCTGAGAATTTATTTTCTAATATTTTGCTTGTAGAAAAAAATTGATCCCATGAGTACAATAGTGTCCACCAGTTAAGACTTGTAAGAGAACTCTTGTAGGCCAGTACTACCCCACTCCAGCTCGGGCTTCTTAAAATATCTGTGGAGGAAAGGATGCAGTCGAAAAAGGGGAAAATGTGACCTGAGGGAGGAAGGCTGGGATCTGTCAAACACATACTGCTGACATGATGCTTAGGACTTGAGACTGGAGTCCCCAGAGCAGGCTAGGCTTGAGTTCTCCCTTCAATGGCAAAGCTAGGTTAGGAAAGTTTCCAGCTGACTCTTCTTTGGGATATAGAGAAACAGAGAGGAAAATGCAGTCTCCTTGACAAACAGCTGGGAATCCTGGACTGGGGAAAGCATCCCAGGAGAGAGGGGAGGCTGTACACTCCTCCCTCTTTCCTAGATAAGAAGAGACTTACAAAGGAACTGGGTGTGCTGAACATTTCTTAAAGGCCTTTACCACACTGGGTCTTTCAGGAAATAGGGTATACTAGTGGTTGGATCAGGGAACTTGGATCCTGTTCTTGACACTACCATTGATTTACTATGTGACATGTTGCTAATTGCTAAACTGAGCCTCATTTCTCCCAAATGGAAATGGTAAAATGATCACATTTATAAGGTATTTAGAAATCCTTGTGTGAAAGGCGCATGGGAGCTTTGCCCAGTTTCAGTGCAAATGTGTTTAGTACTGACACTTACTTTTTTTCAATACCGCATTCAGAACATTTTCAAGTTCCTCTGCAGATATCTCCAGGTCCTAAAGTTGTAAAATGACAGCAGTGGTTACTGTTATGTCTCTATATTGGGTCACTATATTTGCAGTACATTTGTGATTTTTGCAGGACATCTGTGATTTTTCACTCACCTCTCCTGAAATTTGTTCAAACAGTGCCCGGAATTGTTTTTCCTCATCAGTTTCCTGTTGGGTTACGGCTGGATTAGGGGGCTACAACAAAAATGGAGAAATATTTAAATAAATAAATAAATAAAACTTGCTCTCATGTGTAGATTTTTACCTATTTTTCAATAGCAGGGCATTGAAAAATCCTCTGTATCTTGACAAGAGAAATGCATTTATGATTTTATTTCGCTTGGAATGAAAGTCTTAACCCTCCCTGTCTTCAAGTGCATTAGCAATGATTACCTTTCATTTCTTATTGTCGGTGCTTTTACTTACTGCTAAGGAGAATGACACTTGAATGTTCAAAAGCAAAAACTGCTTACTGACTTATCATAAATGTGTTGATATTTCTCACCCCACAATATCCCATGAATAAGTGTGTGTGGGTAGTTGAATGTACATACATATTTGGGAGTTCTTAGACTTTCATTGTGTAATAGGATTCTATATAGTAGCTTACTAAAGGCTCAAGGCACAGACAGAACTGACAATGTATGCCCCATCTGGCCCTTGAAAGTCTTTAAAAGGGCCTGATCTTGCCACAGTCTGAAGCCTTATTACATGAGGGTTAAGATGAAGGTGCTCCAAAGTGAAGCACCTTCATTAGCTTCTGTCTGCATATGCTAGGAGCAGGGCTCAGCTGACACAGCCTAGTGCTGCTCCCAGGACTGTTTTCAGAATGGTAGTGGGGGAAGGGAGTGGAGGAAGCTCATTCTGAAAGTTGCCTAGCCAGCACTGGAAGGGACTCCAATCCACCTACCTCTCCATTCCAGCGTGGCTGGGAAAACCCCAGAACGGACCTCCCTCCCCTGCCTTCTCTCCCATCCTGAGACAAAATGCAAACTGGGAGGGAGGACCTAGGGGAAGAGGCTGAAGAAACACAGCCTCTCTCCCTATATTGGTTCCAAATTGGAGCTCAATCACCCACCCTCGTGACCCAACAGCTAGCATCTATTGTGTCAGGAGGATCAGTCTAATTCATGGTGCTTTCTGTGATGTGCCATGAGTTAGACCCAGGAGCTGCACTTCCGTCTGCACCTTCAGGGGAGCTGTTAGTGTTGAATAGTGAGCTATGATGATTTATACCAACTGAGGATCCAGCCCTTAATTACCTTCTGGCTCCAGCTATTTACCAGCAAGCCCATGAAAAAATATTATTTTTATTATTATGGTTGTTTTATTACAACCAACATAACAGCAGATTTCAGTCACGTACAAAATAACAGTGCTTGCATAAAATTCTAGGAAAGAAACCAGCTTTGACCAAACAAGGCACGTCTACATGGGCCATTAATACACAGCAATAAACTGTGGAGTTTATTACTCCACAGTTTATTGTTCCTAGGAAGCTCCAGGAACAATATATATCTAGCACAACCTTTTGTGCGTATTTACAAGTCCCAACCTTGCTGTGGAGTTTATTAGTTTCATGTGCCCTAATAGGGGCACATGTGTAGACACTGAGATGTTTACTGCACAGTTAATTAGTTTATTGTTCAGTAAATGTCTGATGTATACATGTTCCTCTAGTATAAATAAAACATGCTGGATTATGCTGAACTAATCCATAGCTCTGTATACTTACCTCTGGGAGATCAATGGCAACATTTTCATCCAGATCCCTGAAGGAAACAAAATTACATTCAGTAACAAAAGACTTTGCAGGAAATCCTTTCTGTTTAGATTTTTCAGAGGCAAATATGGGACAAAGTATTAACTTCTGGAAAAATGTACCCTTATATAGAGTCTCAGGTCCATGTACTATTTTAATCAACCCACAAAATAGTTTGAGTGGGACTTGTATGGTACAAGTGTTCATTCCACTCTTCATACAGTGTACAAAGGCTTTTTCTGTAAATAACTTATTCCCTTTATTCAAATATGTCATTCAGATAGGAAACAGATAGGAGCATTACTCTGCATGAAGAACTCTATATATCCTGAAGCAGTGACTGACTCTTCAGAGAGACATAGTTAGCTGTGTTAGTCTGAATTCAAGTAGAAGGCAAGGTAGATTTGCACCTTATAATCTAACCTGGGGTGCTCAACCCCTTGCCCACAGGCCAAACTGGCCTGCAGAGCCATGGCATCCAGCCAGCAGGGCTTCACAAGGGTGGGAAATCTGGCAGTGGGGGAGTGGTTGTAATTAATACTGCTATCCCTTCCCTGCTGCCAAATTCCCAAGCCCTGCACAGCTGGGTCCA